ACTCAGTTCAGTACTCCAGGAGTTGGTGCCAGCAGATGAGAGCAGACACACGTGAGACCTATGTGACATCTGTACGGGTCAGCTTCTGGGGGGACGGGGGCACAGCCCATGATGCCAGCAAAGAGTAAAACCAGAAGAAATTGAAAGTGGAGGTAAAAGAGGGTAAGACTGGAGTCAGAAAGCAGAGTTTCACACACTGAAAGTCTTCTGTGATGACATTGGCTCTGGTAGACACCGTTACAGATGCTGAATGGCTAATGTCTTAAGTAATTATTACCGAAACTCTCTGTTTCTTTGGGGATTGTTGTTGTGAATCGGGATCTTGCTGTGTATCTCAGGCTGGCCTGGAACTTGCTGTGTAGCCCTCCCGGCTCGCTTGAACTCCTAATCCTCCCGCCCAGCCTCCCCATGACAGAATTAACGCGTGGGCCACTATGTCAACCTACATTTTCTTCTAGGACGTCTTCTCATACTGTCCCTGGAACAAGAGCATCTTGAATAAACTAACTCACGCAAGTGACATGCTGTCGCTGAGTACATTTACACTTTTGCTATAGAGCCCTTTACAAGCCAAGAGTTCAGTAATGTTTTGTTTCCACAGTGTGGATTTTATCCTCTGCCTCTATCTCCAAGCACTCTCCGTAGTTTTTCCCCAAGCTGTTTCAGGGTTTTAGGTCTTACGCTGATGTCTTTGACCCGCTTGGGGTTGATCTTTGGCAGTGAGTGAGAGCTAAAGATCTAGTATGTGTAGATCCTTCTTGTATGTGTAGCTGCGAACCTTCTCCGGTGCTGTTTGTTACGGAGGCTGTCTCTTCTCCAATGAGCGTTTTGATGCTTTTGGCAAAACTCGGGAGACGTAGCCACACAGGATCGCCTCTAGCTTTCCTGCTCTCTTCTGTTGCTCCGCGTGTCTGTTTTTGTTACCATGGCTCCGGGGTACAGCTTGAATTCGGGTTCTGATGCTTCTGCATTACTCCTTTTGCTCATTACTCTTGTTTTTGACCATGCACAGTTTTTTTTATTGTGCTTTGAAATAGGTTTTGAGGTGGCTTTCTCTGTAAAGAATGATGTTGGTATTTTGACGGGAATCACATCACGTCTGTAGGTTGCTTTTGATGGGACAGCCATTTTCACAGTGCCATTCTTGCAACCTGGGAAGTCTTTCCATGCTCTCACAGTTTTCATCCTAGAGGTAGTGTGTTTCCTTAGTGAGGTTCATTCCAAAGCATGTGATTGTTTATTTGTTTGTTTGTTTGTTTGTTTGTTTTAAGATTTATTTTATTTCTGTGTATGTGTGTATTGGGGTGGGATGTGCATGTGAGTATAGGTGCCTAAGAAGGCCAGAAGAGAACATAGGCTCCCTGGATCAGGACTCATAGGCGTTGTGAGCCACCCAATGGGTGCTGAGAACCAAACCTGGGTCCTCTGCAAGAGCAGTATAAGCTCCTAACCACTGAGCCATCCCTGCAGACCCTGCCAGTCTGTATTTAAGAGACTTTTAAGTGGGGCTGGAGAGATGGCTCAGAGGTTAAGAACACTGACTGCTCTTCCAAAGGTTCTGAGTTCAATTCCCAGCAACCACATGGTGGCTCACAACCATCTGTGATGAGATCTGGTGCCCTCTTCTGGTCTGCAGGGATACATGGAGACAGAACACTGTATATATAATAAATAAATTTAAAAAAAAAAGAGAGAGAGACTTTTAAGTGGAAAGGTTCCCCTGTTTCTTCCTCAACATGCTTGTTATTGGCAGAGAGGAAGGCTACAGAGTGTTGCATGTTAATTTTCTCTTTGGTTATATTTTCATTGACCAAAATAGGGGACTTCTATGTTGATGGTTTTCCTAAAAAGCATGGAATGAGCCAGGCGGTGGTGGCGCATACCTTTAATCTCAGCACTGGGGAGGCAGAGGCAGGCGGATCTCTGTGAGTTTGAGGCCAGCCTGGTCTACAGAGTGAATTTCAGGACAAGCTCCAAAAGCTACACAGAAAAACCCTGTCTCAAAAAAACAAAAACAAACAGACAAACAAACAAACAAAGAGCATGGAATGCTTTGAAGTTGCTTCTAATATAAACTACATGGAAACTGCTTCTGGTTCTTCTGGTACCTGATTTACAGAGAATATTTGGGGTATTCAGTTGCCCAAATTTTAAACCATAAACATTCTATTATGAATTGTGGACACAAATAGTTGGTAATACTATCTTAATATTAGCACAAGAACGGGTGTGGTGGGTGTGGTGGGTGTGGTGGGTGTGGTGGGTGTGGTGGGTGTGGTGGGTGTGGTGGCACAAGGCCAGCCTGGCCACGTAGTGAGTTCCAAGAAAGTCAGAGCTACATAGTAAGACCTTGTCTCAAAAATAAATAAATAAATACCCACCCCCCCCTCAAAAACAAACAAACAAATAAACAACAACAAAACAGAGCACGTGCTTTTCTAGAAGAGCCAAGTTGATTCCCAGCACCCACATCAGATGGCTCACAACCATGATAACTGAAGCCCTTAGGAATCCTACCCCCGCTTCTGGCTTCCACCGGAGCCTGCACACACATACACGTAAAAATAAACTTAACAACAAAAAACCATGGCAACTTGAAATGTCTAACTATGTTATGAAAACTCAACAGTAATCACAGACATTGTTTAGAACGTCAACAGTATTTCCAGGGAAAGGAGGGCTTTCTTCCTGGAGTTGCTCAAAATGGTCTGGTCTAATGATGACCCAGGCAGACTCTCATAGATTTTCCTCTCTTCAATGACAGCGCTCCAGTGCTTGAGTGTAGAGGGGGACCTGTGCATTGCCCACCTTGGGTCCACCTCCGCTTTCCTTATAAGCCTATCTTTCTATTTCCTCCTGCACCTCGGGTCTGTAGCTTTCAGGAGTCACTCCACCCGACTCCAGCACATTCCTCCCTTTTGTTCCAATGACGCATCTTCTCGGTAGATTGAAATTTTAAATTTTATTTATTATTATTTATTAATTATCCCCCCCCCCCCCCCGAAAGCACCAACTACTTGATGAGAACTAGACCTGCAGATAAATACTGATCTGTATTTAGCATGGATTTGTGCACAAGTTTAAAAAGGATAATGCCTTTTAAAAATAAGAATGAAAAAGACTAAACAGAAAAATGGAGCCATGGTCCCAGCAAATGTGTGTGTGTGTGCGTGTGCTTGTATTTGACAATGATAGAAGTCAATTTATAGCATTCTATTTCCTTATGGAAACACAAAGTAAGACTCCTTCATGAGAGAGACTTTTTCCCTCATCCCTTCTTTCTAGAAAGTAAACATCATGGATATTTTCACACATTTATCAGAAAGCTGTACCCAAACAGTACGCAGGGTTATACTATGCCGGAGTCTGTTTTCATTTGATGCTTTTGTGTTTTATTTTTAATGTAAAATTAATTCTGCCACAGCATCTGAATGGTTTTTTTTTTTTTCCTTTACAATCAATTAGCTTTTGCTAGGAAAATCTTTTCCTGTTTAATATAGAATAATGATTTTTTTTCATCTGTCAAGGGGGCTATTAATAAATGGTACCAGTGGGGTTAGAACACTCTCTGGTGTTTGCTTTAGGGGAACAGGGGGATTGTCGGAAATCCTAGCCAAACTGAACCATAATTAGAGAGAAAATGTTAGCAATTAGAACTATACATTAGGCTTTAATTTACGACGGTGGAAAAGTCAAGGGTGGAATTTCCGTTCCATTTTTAGGTGCAGCCAGATGGATTGCTCATTATAGGCTAATTTCCGCCAACCCTCTGGGTTTCTCAGGGTAACAGCATGGCTGAGAGCACCTCGCAGCCCAGTGGCTGTGACTTCATCTTATCTCTTGTGGGAGTGGAGCACTGGGTAGGATGTCGAGCAGCCATCAGTTCCCTGCCTCAGCACTGACACTGGGAATCCCTTTTATGTGCTGAATTCTAGGTCAAGAGAGCAGTCTGGAAACACAAGTGTCTTAATGCAATTTGCTTTTCTGGTTTCATCGACAAATGTTGCACTGGTGTTGTTCAACACCTCTCACCTTAAAGAGGTTTTCTTGTTGGTATTTCTACTCTTCTTTTTTCCAAGAAACCAAAATGAGCACTTTAAGCTGTTGTTTTATATTTTTTAAAGAAGATCTTCTCAAATCAAAATAATATAGCTGCCATCTAACGGCAGTAAAAAGGCTCCTGTGTCTACTAAATGACGGATTTTAAAATATGAGTTATACCTTATGATTTATCGTATTTACTTCACAATCAAACGTGATCTCTCTCTTAAGTGTCCTGACCAATTTTCCTTTTATAAAATGAACTTGGGGCCAAAATGTTAATTACTACTTAAAATAAACGTATTTATTTCAGGATGAACAAGGTTTTCATATGTAAAACTTCCGGTTACTTTAAATTATAGTGAGTTAAAAACCTGTCATTGTCTGCCGGGCGGTGGTGGCGGCGCACGCCTTTAATCCCAGCACTCGGGAGGCAGAGGCAGGCGGATCTTTGTGAGTTCGAGGCCAGCTTGGTCTACAGAGCGAGATCCAGGAAAGGTGCAAAGCTACACAGAAAAACCCTGTCTCAAAAAACAAAAAAACAAAAACAAAAAACCTGCCATTGTCTCCTTCTCATGTGAAAACACAATTGCTGCTACCATTAGTTCCTACTTTATTTTATAATTTTTTTTTGTGATCTGCTGCATGCTGGCAAGCATACTGCCACTTAGTTATATCTCCAGCCGTCTCTTTCTCTTTTCCCCTTTTTATTTGGAGACAGATTGTCTCTAAGTTCTCTAGACTAGCCTCAGAACTCACCTTCCAGCCCAGGGAGAACTTGGGCTTTCAATTTCTCCATCTCTGCCCGAGGAAAGCTTGAGCCTGCAGTCCTGGGCCACCAGCCGGGCCTAGCACACGTTACGTCTCATTGCAGGAAAGAAATGTAATATATATATGTATATTTGACATAGGGTCCACTCCGCTTACAGAAATGCCCTGTGTAAGAAGAATCATACAACTTGCTTCGACAGCAAGTGTGCTAAAATTAGAACTACATAGGTAAAATTAACATGGCCCCTGCTTATGAATGACATGCAAATTGAGCAAATGTTCCATGTTATTATCAATTTTGTTTATTTATTTTACTGCTTTGGGCTCTCTGTGTTCGTGTGTGTGTGCGTGTGTGTGTGTGTGTGTGTGTGTGTGTGTGAAGACAGGGTCTCATGCAGCCTATTTTGGCCCAAATTAATTATGCAGCCAAAGCTCCTCATTATGCTTCTATCCCCCACGTGCTAGAATTATAGATGTGTGCCGCCATCTATAGCATTCTATACAAAAGAGAAGGAGGAGGGAGCTTTTGTCCTGACTTATTTCACCTATCGGTCAGAAAGGTTCATCTATGTTGTCAGGCTTGCCTTCCTTTTCTATTCAAGTGATCTTGATTTTAAACACATTGAACATATTTTATAAACTGTACCTCCACATCTAAGTTTTGTTTGGGTTCTACTACTGCAGTTGTAGCTGTGTATGACACCCCCAAAGCTGATAAGATGGGCTGGTTTGTTTAACTACTTGAGTCCACCACAGGCAGTTTAGACAATAGACAGGTCTAGGAAAATGTCTAGTCTTTCCATGAAAGATCCAGTTAGAAAGAAGGCATGCAAAAATAACTAGAGTCCTGACATGGAAAGAAAAACACTTAATCGTATACTTGTGTTGAATTTTTGTTGTTGTTTTGGGTTTTGTTGTTTACTCAAGACAGTTTCTCTGTGTAGCCCTGGCTGTCCTGGATTGCTCTTTGCAGACCAGGCTGGTCTTTCTCAGGATCAGAGATGTGGGCCACTACATCCAGCCAGCAGATGCTCGTAACCACTGAGCCATCTCTTCAGGCCTAGTCATTATTTTTAGTTCTCATAAATATTGTATCCTGCTGTGGAACAATCTTTGTACACTGTAACTATGTGTTTCTCTCGTTATTAATAAATAGCTGCTTGGCCAATAGCTAGACAGGCTTTTCAGGGCAGAGAGAATGCTGGGAAGAAAGAGGGTGGAGTCTGGGGAGTTGCCAACAGACTCAGGGAGAAGCAAGATGAACGTGCTGTGTTGAAAGAAGGTACAGTCACATGGTAGAGGGTAGATAAGAAATATGGATTAATTTAAAATGAAAGAGTTAGCTAATAACAAGCCTGAGCTATTGGCGGAGCATGTATAATTATTATTAAGTCACTGTGTGGTTATTTGGGAGTGGCTGCCGAGACACAGAGACACATAGTCATCCTCTATGCAGGATGACTCTGAAAGCAGTCAGATACACTGTCCCTGGTGCACATGTGCTCCCTACACAAGTTTAATTTGACAACTCGTAATCGTGAACCATTGATTTTGCTTGGGGTGTGGTTCACCTCATTTCAGTGATTTTATGTATTTTTGTCCGTAGACAATATATTCCAAATAAGCAGTGCCAACACAGGATTATAAAGACAAGGAAATGGAGTTCGAGGGCCTTCAATTCACCAAGTGCATCTTTATTTACTCAGAATTTGTATAGATCACAAAATTGTTTTCAATGCAGAAACATTTGAAAGTTCTTAGTCTCAATTCTGAAGGGAAAAAGACAGAATTTCTTGTAAAATGGGATGGGTTTTTAAGACTTTCTGTCAAACTTATATTGAAGACTTTTTCTATTATTGTATATTCCATGTAACAGGAATTTTTTTAAATTAAGAGTTCTTTATCAACAAAAGGAAAAATAGATTAACAGATGTAATTATATTATCTATCAAATATGAGTGTGTGAAGATCCATTTTCGACCAAGTCATTGATAAATTTGTACAAGTTACACCTCCAGCTCAAAATAGCACACTGTAATATTATTGTTGATTGTGGCAGGAGACAGATATGTAATTTCAATAGTTTATCCCTTTTCTCTAAACATGCATTAAGAGGGCTGGGAATGTAGCTCAGTTGATAGAGCACTTGAGTGGGACTCATGAAGGTCTAGGTTCAATTCCCTGCACCACATAGAATCGGGCGTGAGCACACACTTACAATCCCAGTACTCTGGAGGTGGAGGTAGGAGACTCAGAAGTTTAAGATCAGCCAGGTGATGGTGGCACACACCTTTATTCCCAGTGCTCGGGAGGCAGAGGCAGGTGGATCTCTGTGAGTTCGAGGCCAGCCTGGTCTATACAGTGAATTCCAGGACAGCCAGGGCTACACACAGAGAAACTCTGTTTCAAAGAAAGAAAGGAAGGAAGGAAGGAAGGAAGGGAGGAAGGAAGGAAGGAGGGAGGGAAGGAAGGAAGGAAGGAAGGAAGGAAGGAAGGAAGGAAGGAAAGAAGGAAGGAAGAAGTTGTCCAAGGTCATCCTCAGTCACATGGCAAGTTCGAGGCCAGCCTGCATGATAAGAGACCCTGTCTCAGAAATGTCAAAAAAAAAAATGAAACCAAGAACGGTGACTGGAGAGATGGCTCAGAGGTTAAGTGTTTGCTTACTGCTCCTGTAGGTTCCCCTGGGCATTAGTGAACTGCCACACAGCTCAGTACTCATGCAGAATCCCCACATAGAGCTGACATCTGTCATATTGATCCAACTTTGTGTATGAAAAAGTTTTCCTTCGAGACCTGGGCACCTAGGATACTGTCCCCAAAAGGAGGCCTGTCCTTTGTGAGAGGGGTGCTGCCTCACAACCAAGTCTTACCAGATTTTTCACTTGAAAGAGCTCTCATTACATTTCATACAAGAAGCAAAAGTATAGCCAGGCTTCGTGATCAATCCCTGCAATCCAGGATCCCAGGAAGCAGACACTAGACTCCAGGTTCACCAAGAAAGCCTGTCTCAAAGGAATAAGGTGGCATGTGATAGAGCAGGACACTGGCCATCCTTCTCTGGCCTCAGCACATACTCACAAAGGGGACACACCAGTACACACAGCATGAGTATAACACACACACACACACACACACACACACACACACACACACACACACACACACGAATGCATGCACAGTCCCAGGCACAGAAAAGAAGCATTAGACATGTTCACAAGAGAAAGAGAGATTTCTGCATGAGGAGGGAGCAGGGGTGAGTGCAGGTCAGCGTATGCTATGGTGAGTCTAGGATTAATCTTCATGCCAAATTGATCAGTACCTTATTAACTACCAGAGATTTATGAAAAGTTTCTTAGTGCATGGTGCACACCTGTAATCCCAGTGCTCAGGAGGCTGAGGCAGGAGAATTTTAAGTTCTTGACCAGCCTAAGATACATAGCAAAATCCTGCTTCAGGAAGGAAGAAAGGAGGGGAGGGAGGGAAGGAGAAGGAGAGGCAGAGAGAATTTTCTGCACGTCTAATCATTCTTCACTTCATCAGCATGCCACACTACCTGCTCACCAAGACACAAAGTGACAATCTCTACGGGGGCTGTGGTTCAGTGGTTAGAACAATTATGCCCAAGGCCCCAGGTTCCATCCTCAGCACTGCAAAAACAAAACTGTGACCCTCTTTCTTATTTTCCTTCTACGAGTAGAAAATGTCTTTCCGTTTATTTCCCTGAAAAGAAAGATGGCTTACTCATCATTCATCTCTCACCACTATATACAAAATGTCATCCCTGTGAAGTCTGTGTCCGCTTTGATTAACACTCCTTGCACTGCCACTACCACAAAGCGCCTTCATGATTTCCCTTCCTGATGCTACGTCACCCCTGAGACTGACTGTGTAGTGCCTGGATCTTATCAGCCTCAGATTGTTTATGATGAGGTCTCACTACACAGTCCTAGCTAACCTGAGACCAGAGTGGCCTTGCTTCTCCTTCATGAGGGCTGGGAAGACAGAGTTGTGCTACCATATTCAGAAACCATAATGAGTTTTGTTACTTCACCCATAGGTTATAATTATCAGAATGTTTATAATACTGTTTAACTCATCAGCAAGAGAGCACCTTGGAGTCGCCTGCCATTCGGTCACAAGACTAAATATGTAAGAGGAAGATTAGGGTCTAAGCGATCTCGTGATTCCAGCATCTAAGACAAACACAAACAATGGAACCTCCTGAACTAAGGTGCAATCTTTTCAAACTCACCAGAGAAAACTTTGGTGACATTAGGTCCTTGCAAAGTCAATGACTGGGCACTACCTCCTCAAATTTAAAAAGTACATGAAATTCTCTATTGGTAATAGTTTAATAACTACTAAGAAATAGCCGGTAACTATTACAGTAGAATTAATTGTTGACAACTACTAAATACAATTGTTTCAGCACGGACAATTTTTTGTTTGTTTGTCTGTTTTTGAGACGGTTTCTCTGTGTAGCCCTGGCTGTCCTGGAACTAGCTCTGTAGACCAGACTGGGATTAAAGGCATGTGACTCAGACTGCAGTTTCTTGAGGGCTATGGAGATGGTCTGTTAGTAAAATGCTTGCCACATAAGCATGAGAATGTGAGTTCAACCCTCTGCACCCATATAAAAAGCCAGGCATGGTAGCATGAGCTTCAAGTACCAGTTCTGGGAAGGTAGAGACAGACAGGCAGATCCCTGGAGTTCACTGGCTAGCCAGGCAAACCTTATCAGTAATCCCTAGGTCTTAGTGAGAGAGACCCTGTCTTAAAAAACAAGATGGATTCGCTCCTGAGTAACGACATCCAAGGTGGACTTCTGGTCTCCCTGTGCGTGCATGTACACACACACACACACACACACACACACACAGAGAGAGAGAGAGAGAGAGAGAGAGAGAGAGAGAGAGAGAGAGAGAGAGAGAATGTTCATCTGTGTCTACTTTAAAGCCATAAATTGGAAACTAGGGAGGAGGAGGAGGAGGCAGAAAAAACAAAAATGAAATCATAGCTACATCATGGTACATTGCAGGGTGAGGAGAGGAAAGGACAGCTAGGAGACCCATTTGATGGCACACACCCTTTGGCGATCATGTCTCAGACCCCCATATGTACCCAGGGATGAGCATAACATCCCTTGGGTTATTGCTTGTTCCCACAGGAAGTACATAGCAAATACCAGTCCTTGCTTCTCAGTTTTTCACTAACTAAAACGTAACAGAGGCGAAAGCTGTGGTCTCCAGTCGGACTTCCTGGAGTTAAGTCATCCACTACTGTTTGGACCT